ACCACTGTTGCAGCCACCGTGGCAATCTATCTCGTATACAGAGATACAGATATAGCTTAAGTACAGGGATAGGCACCCAGGAGTGGTGACAATAGTTAAGGTGTTTGCCTACAGGTAACTTAAAAAGAAGTCCCAGTGCTTTACTTTGAAAGCATCAGCTACTACAACCTCTACAGAGCACAGCGTTTCTCTGTCTACATCACAATTCCATGAGCCGAACACACACCATGGCAACTGGCATAGGTACAAAAGAGGCAAGTTAGTAAAATGCTTAAAACCAAGGAACTTACCTGGATTAAGAATATAGATATCCATTCCACTTATTTGTGCTTTTGAAAAATTTTATTTTTCAAAACAAAATTTTATTTTTCAAAAAACAAAAAATTTTCAAAGTTTTTAATTACTTACGAAGTCATGTGGCCATTGATATAATTCTGATTCAGTACACGACCCCAGCAACCTGCACCCACATCATTATTCACAGTGCTAAAATCTTCAGAAGACCAAAGTTTCTTCTTGGTCAACTTTGCGTCCCGAACTGTATAGGTCCCAGGGTAATGCGCCCTAGGAGAGGAAACGGAGAACGGTCAGAATGTGACCTGTCTGTGCAGTTGGTGAGTGAACACAAAGGCATGTCTTCTCTGAGGTTTTCTACTTTAAACCACTGGACAGATTCCAGACAGATGACAGGCTGAATGTAGATCTCTGCCTCCCATCATTCCTGCCCAAGCATCACTTAAATGACAGCAGAGAGAAGTGATAAGCTGTACTAGCACGCTGACTAGGGAAGATTATCCATGCATGAGGGATGTCAATCTGTTGGTTCCTTCCTGGAAATCACAAAATGTATGGAAGCCTGTTGGTGAGTGGGTCTGGCAGTTCCAGAACACTCCAAGAAGAGATCCAAGTAGACATTCAAGTCAGATTTCTAGAGGAAGCCAGAAAACTGGGAACCTTAAGAAGGTCGGATTAAGGGAACTATGAATAAGACTAAGGGGCACCTTGTTTATAATAAAAAGTACCACACATTCATTCACTCCTAGCCACCAAGAGAAAAACAGTTTGGCATTTACTCCAAAAGGGCTCATCCTTGGGAAAAAAAGAATAATCCACCTTGGAAGAACTGGAAGGAAGTCAGTCCTGCGGAACAGTGGTTCCCAAGCTAGGCAGTCGTGCGCTCCTAGAGACGTAGGGCTATCACACCTCACAGCCCCAACAACCCTCTGAGCTGACTGCTCTGTCTTGAATTTAACTGGCCAAGCAGATCATCTTCGAAATCAGTTTTGAGTGGAGCTTTTTCTTTAAGGTACCCTAATGGGAGTAAGACAAGTTTATTATTGAGAAAACTTGCCTGGAGCCTTCTACTGACACGCTTAAATATGCTGTGTTTGGGGGAAAACTGGCATGTAGGAACGGGAACCCTGGTAGCAATATTTCTTGATTTACTGAGAAAATGGTGTGGGGGTAGCCTCTGACCTTCTCCAGCTGTGCGCAAGGGGAAAGAAAATCAAATTCCACGTCAGCCTCACCCAAAGCTGATTTCTATGAGGCTAACATCAGACCTTAGCACAGACTACCAAGAAGGAAGAGACTGTCACTTTCAAAGAATCGGCTAATGAAAACCTGATGCAAACTCCCATCCAAACACTGGGAGTTCCAGAAATCCTCATGAAGAGGAGAAGACGGCCAGCGCGTGTGCCGGAGCACTCAAACATGACTGAGGACGGGCTGCCTTCTCCAAGGAAAAAGCCCCAACGTGACACCGAGGGAATCAAACCTGCAGGAGCAAAGTCTGCAGCAACGTCCTTTGCTGACGGGACATGACTCAAAAGAAGAAACAGCTGCCAACATCAATTAAAAATGGAACTTGGAATGTGCATAGTATGAATCTAGGAAAACTGAAAGTTGTTGAAAATGGATTTTAAAAAGATTCACATTCTAAGGGTTAGTGAGCTGAAAGGGACTCGTGTTGGCTATTTTGAATCAGAAAAGCATACGGCTGACCGTGCTGAGAATGGCACAATCAAGAAAAAATGGATTGCATTCATCATCTAAAAGGACATTTCAAGATCTATCTTGAAATACAATCCTGTCTGTAATAGGAAAATGTCTATCCCCAATCAAAGAAATCTAGTCAATACAACTACTATAAAAACTACGCATCAACCATGAAAGCTAGAGAAAAAATTACAGAATTCTACCAATGTCTTAAGTCTGAAATCGGTCAAACAGGCAATCAAGATGTACTGGTCATTACTGGTGATTGAGATGCAAATGATGAAAACAAAGAATAAGGAAAATACGGCCTTGGTGACAGAAACGAAGCTGGAGATCACATGACAGAATTTCGCAAGACCAACATCTTCACCGCAAATACCTGTTTTCAACAACAGAAAAGGCAACTATAGAAATGGACTTCTCCAGATGGCGTACACAGAAATCAAACTGACCATATCTATGGGAAGAGATGCTGGAGAAGCTCAATGTCAGCAGTCAAAACTAGGCCACGGATCAACAGAGCATCAATCACTAATGTGTAAGGTCAGTCTGAAGCTGAGGAAATTAGAAGTCCACTAGAGTCAAAATAAGATCTTGAGGCTATCCCACCTGAGTTTTGAGAACATCTCATGAACAGATTTGATACCTTAAAAACTAATGACAGAAGACCTGATGGGCTGTGGGAGGACACAAAGAATATCATACATGATGAAAGCAAAAGGTCACTAAAAGATGGGAAAGAAAGAAAAGGTTAGCTTGAATGTTAAAGGAGACTATGAAACTTGTTCTTAATTGTAGAGTAGCTAAGGCAAATGGAAGATATGAAGAAGTCAAAGAGCTGAAAAGAAAATTCCAGAGTACAGCTTGAGAAAAAAAAGTTAAATAATGTAGAGAAATGTGCAAAGGCCTAGAATTAGAAAAACAAAAAGGAAGAACATGCTCAGCAGATCTGAAACTGAAAGAAGCTAACACAAAATTGAAACCTTGAGGAACAACATTGAAAGATCCAATGGGAAAAATACTGAATGATGCAGGACACATCAAAAAAAAAGGAGAATACTGACTGAGGCATTGTAACCAAAAAACCTCATCGACATTCAACCATTTCAAGAGGTAGCACGTGAGCAAGAACCAATGGTACTGAAGAAAGAAGCCTAAGTTGCACTAAAAGCATGGGCCACAAAAAGGCTTCAGGAATTGATGGAACACCAATTGAAAGATTTCAACAAGCTGATGGGAGCACTGGGGAACTCACTTGTCTTGCCAAGAAAGACAACTACTTGGCCAACTAGAAGAGATCTGTATTTGTACCTATCCCAAAGAAAGGTGACCCAAGAAAACGCTCAAATGATAGAACACTACCATTGATATCACAAGCAAGAAAAGTTTTTCTGAAGATCATCCAACGATGACTGCAGAAGTACATTGACAGGGAGCTAGCTAAGAGAGGTGCAGGCCGTATTCAAAGAGCACAGTGATTCATTGCTGGCATCACATGGATATTGGCGGAGAGCAGAGAACACTAGAAAGATGTATACTTGTGTTTCATTGACTATGGCAAAGGCATTTGACTGTGTGGATCAAAATAAACTAAGGGAAGCCTTGAGAAGAATGGGAATTCCAGAACACTTCATTATGCTCATGTGGAACCTGCCCGTGAATAATAAGGAATTGTGCAATTAGAGCAAGGGAACAGTGCATGGTTTAAAATCAGGAAAGGTATGCATCGGGTTGTTATCAGTAGACACCGTATATACTCGAGTATAAGCTGACTCGATTATCAGCCGAGGCACCTAATTTCACCACAAAAACTGCATAAAATATGTGCTGAAAAACTTGGCTAATACACAAGTACATCCAGTACTTGTTCAGTCTGTAGGCTGAGCAAATAATCAGAGAAGCTGGATTGTGTGAAGCAGAATAGGGCATCAAGGTTGGAGGAAGGCTTATTAACAACCTGTGATATGCAGATGGAGACAACCTTGCTTGCTAAAGTAAGGACTTGAACTACTTACTGGTTAAGATCAAGGATTAAAGTCGACAGTGTGGATTAAAACTCAATGTACAGAAAGCAAAAATCCTCACAACTGGACCAATGATAAATGGAAACATGGCTGCAGTTAACAAGGATTCCATGTTGCTTGGATGCACAATCAATGCTTATGGAAGCAGTAGTCAAGAGACCAAACACCACATTGCAGTAGGTCAATCTGCTGAACAAGATCTCTTTAAAGTACTGCAAAGCTAGGGTGTTACTCTGAAGACTAAGGTGCGTCTGACCCAAGCCATGGTATTTTCAATTGCCTCATATGCACATGAAAGTTGGACATTAAAAAAGAAGGCTGAAGAAAAAGTGATGTACTTGAACTATACTGTTCACAAAGAATATTGAAATACCATGGACTGCCAAAAGAACAAACAGATCTGTCTTGGAAAAGTTACAGCCAGAGTGCTCCTTAGAAGCAAGGATGGCGAGACTTTGTCTCACATAGTTTAGGTATGTCATCAGAGAGTCCAGTCCCTGGAGAAGGATGGCAAGCTTGGTAACGTGGGAGAGCCAGCAAAAAGAGGAAGGCCCTTGCAAGATGGATTGACACAGGGGTTGCAATAATCAGCTCAAATTAATAGCACTTGGGGGGATGGTTAGTTCTGTTGTGCATGGGGTCCCTATGGATCACAACCAAATTGAGGACACCTAACAACAACAAAGGTTAGACCTGCCTCCAACCTCCAACCTTCCTATCAATTCCACCACCAATGCTCTCTCCCTACAGTATTCTAATCCTGTGGTTGTATTCAAGAATTCATTGTAATCACACAGCAAACACAGAAGGCGGTACTCAAAATAAAATAAGTTTTTAAAGGGAAGTTAACAGGTTACAATTCAGGTGAAAAAATGCTCAGGGAATAGCTGTTCAATCAGGACAGTTTCTTCACTGCCATGTCTACAGGTAGGAATCTGCACTCCAACCTCCTGGCTTGGCTGGCCTGTCCTACTCTGACAAAGTTCTAAAGCTCTTTGATCCATAACTGTCCAAAGGGCATGCCACTGTGCTATACAGCTCAACCCGAAGGCACCCGGCTCAGAAACCCTAGCTTTCCCAAGGAAGTACCAAATTAAATCTCAGAGGTGCCCATTCCACACGTCTGCCCCATTCCCAAAGCGCTCGCTGCCCTTGCTCTGTGGCCAAGGAGCGTGTACGCTCTTTCCCATCTTGGGGCTCCTGGCTCTGCAGCTGCTGCTGCTCCTCTGCCCCTCCTCTGGTAGCACACCCTTCTCTTGGATCAAGAAGGTTCAAAGCATAGAGATTCTGCAGATCCAGAGGATGCGCTCAAGTTCTGGCTCTTCTCCCCTGCTGTTAAGTGTGATCCACTCCTCCACCCCCCCACCCCCTCCTGCTTCTGAGATGGCTCACTTTATACCCCGCAGGATGGAAGTCATAATTAACTCCACTAACTAATACTCAAAGCCGAAATGTCTAATCCAATCAACCAGCATCTTCCCCCACCTTTCTACCCAGAGCCATCATGGAAGTTTCTCTGTGGGTATAACAAAGGCTATGGCCAGAGTGGCTAGAACAGCCATGCAGAATAAGGTACTGCAGTGCACTTAGCCCCATATATAAGTGAGCACATTAGCTAAATAACTTTAAGTAGGCCAAAAACATTTATAAGCATTTTCATAATAGTAAAACAGAATGAAGCTTGTAGTACATCATGAAATATTCGTAACATCACAAGAATTATTGCGTAGGTCTTTTGGGTTTTATTTATTTAATTTTATTTAGGTCACTAATCTTTTAATGTCCTAATTGGAAATTCTTTATGCTTCGTGAAGATGAATTAGGGCACACCCTTAATTTAGTTTCTCAGAATTTCATGAAAAAGAGGTTCAAAATCAGGGGAAATGAGGTATATCATCTTCAATGCCCATCCAAAGAATGTAATGGAACATGAAGAAAAGAAGAAAGTATTACAAAACATTAAGTTCCACCAAGATGTTGTGAGTTAGTGAACTTATTTAAAAGTAGGGAGACCGCCCAATCAGTGTGGCAAATGCACACTGGAGAGACCATGACGGTAAATCCAGCACCTATTAGGGGTAAAACATGAATGTTCTGGCATTTGAATGCCCAACTCAAGATGTGAGATTTTTCTTCCGCTCTTTCAGTGGAAGAAAGGCGCTGAGGCCAGGTCTCTGCACACTGTAACGTAATAGTGTGCTTTGCTTTGTCGAACTGCTTCTAGAAATTTTCTGTTGGGCTATTTTACTGTGCCTTTTACTTTTCCGTTTTCTTTAGCTAGTCTACATTCAAGAGCAAGACCACTTTGGTCTTTCCTTCTTGTCTTTTAAATGACCTTCTGCTTCTTCATGTACAAAATGTTCCTGATGTTATCTCAGAACTCACATGGTCTTCGATCATCACTGTTCAACGGATCAAATCTGCTCTAGATTTGGGTGAAATAAACTCAAGGTCGCCTTTTAGCTCCCCAGCACTTGTTTTCATTTTCTTCAACTTATAACTGAATTTGGCATAAAGGCAAGCAATTGATAAACTGTCCTACAGTTTGTCCCTGACCTTGTGTTAGCTAATGTGATTGAGCCTGTCCATCATATCTTCCCACAGATATAGTCGATTTGACTCCTGTGTCAGGCAAGGTTCACGTGTCTAGTCAGCTTTATGTTGCTGAAAAAAAGGTATTTGGGATGAAGAAGTCATTATTCTGTCAAAATTCTATCATGCAACCCCAGCTGTTTCTTTAACCAAAGCCATACTTTCCAACTACTGATCCTTCCTCTGTTTCTAACTTCCTCATTCCAATTCTCAATAAAACTCTGGACACCAAAGTACAGGTGAACTTCCGTGGTTAGCAACACTTCACGCATACTGTATAAATTATTTACACTGTTGCTGAGACAAACAGGTACTCTCTGCACAAGTCCACCAAAGGCCCAAGACCAAAGGCTTCGGGCTGGTATTCTCTTACACCCATCCCCCTACACGACTCTTCCATTGACTGGTTTATATTTGTATCATTTTGCTATAATAAACTGCAAACAAGAGTGTAACAACTTTCAATGAATTCAAAGAGTCATTCAAGCAAACTAATGCGCCTCATGTTGACCTTCAAAAAAAAAACACGCCCCTGGCCATCAAGTAGACTCTGACCCTCTGGGACAAAGCAGAACTGATCCTTGCCTTTCTGAAGCTGTAACCCTCACAGGAGCAGTGACCTCATCTTTCCCTCCTGAAGTGCACGGTAGGCTCTCACTTCTGAACCTGTGTCTAGCAGACCAATGAGGAACCAACCCCCTGGAACACCAGACTGACAGCTGATTTCAGAAGTGAGCGTGAGCTTAGGATTTGAACTTTGCCATACCAAAGTATGTGCGTAAGTGTTTAAACTGAGAACTGCCAGCCATAGAAAGCCTGGGACTTGGGACCTAATTTCAATATATTGCCTTTATAATATCTAAAGGCTAATATTCTTCTGGCCCTGAATCCAAGCAAAGACTCCAAATATTTACAAAAATTTTTAAAACTTACAAATACATTTCATTGTCATGGGAAGGGCCTAAAACTTATACATTTCAAAAAGAAATGGATATTTACTAATACATGCTTTGGTTAAATAAGCACAAGAAAGCTACCTTCTGGCAATATAATCTAATGTGGAGGGAAAGCGAAAACAAAAGTGCATTTGTTACACAGAGAAGCAACCAGAAATTGCTGGTTTTCAAAGTGAAGCATCTCTTACCCTATAACATCAACCACCTTCAAGAGTTCAGCATCAAGCATCATTGAAGCAGAAATGGGCTCCCAGAGATTATCACTTGCTATGATTTTCACTCGCTCCAGACCATGATGGTTCAGCATTGCTCTTAACATCTTTCAGAGATAAATGGAACACACAGGAGGGTTACAAATGCATTTCTAGCCTTTGCATTTGACAAAGCTAGCTAAAATAGCTTCACAAAACAGCATCCTGGAAGGTAGTTCCAGTATATCGCAATACAAATGCCCCACAACTAACAATACAAACTTCCTGCCCTGTGCAAAACCAATCAATATCTATAAGGTAACCCACTTCATTGGATTATTTGAAAAATAAAAAAGCTGAAGGTGTCAAAATGTTTCAGAGAGAAGAGCTTAATACGGACGAATGAGAGAGAGGCTGTTCTGGTTGAAATGGGTGAGGTGCCTGTTACTCATCCACCCATTTCCATCCATGTCCACCCACAACCATCCATGTCCACCTATAATCATCCATGTTCATCCATGACCATTCATGACCATCCATGTTAACCAATGATCATTCATGACCATCCATGTTCACTAATGACTATCTATGCCCACCCACGTCCTTCGATGTGCACCCATGACCATCCATGTTCACAAATGACCATTCATGTCCCTCCATTACCCTCAGAACTTGATTCAGATTCGGATACCATTGAAGCACCATATACTGAGAAGCAAAACAAACCATAAACACAATGTAAGCAGCACAAATAAATTTTAATTCTACAAAGGAATCATTCACGAATAAAGAAGGAAGGATGTTGAAGTATTACAGACCTTGATATAACTGATGTCAAATGTTCTCTCATTCCATATCTACAAAGGAAAAAGTCAAAAAAATGATGAGTTGAAAATTCTAAGTGTCAAAAAAGAAGAAAGTACCATTAAAACAACACTTCTCCCCTCATCTTTCTTAATGTCTGAAACAC